TACTTTTCATTTGTTTATTTGTAACCTACAAAATCGAAATTTAGCTAAAATGCAATAGCAAACAAATTCTTTATGGAAATTGATTGAATCTCCAACGTGCTACGTTACGCAAGTAACATTCGAACTAAGCCATATATTGTGATGAATGTTTCTATTTCGAGGCATAAAACACGTGAAGATTTTGAATTGAGTTGAAGTTTTCACAAAGAAGTAAACAAAAACCGGAGTAATGTCTGTCAAAAAAATGAAACTTTGCTTTAATATTTGAATGCAGAGGATCATGTCAGCTTGTAAGTACACTGAGATTATTTATTGCCTCTTTAAACTTATTGTTTGTTTGAAAGGGTGTCATTGCCTACACATTTTGTTTATGCAACTGTTTATTCGTTATTTCAAAACCCCACTTTGACAGTCATTTCTCTCCTTCGTAAGTTACCTCTCTTCTTTCAACACCTGTTTAAACTAGATTAACACATTCTTACAAAAAATGGAATGGAGCGCTATAGAAACCGGCTCTTAAAGTACAGATTTCGAAGTGCATACGCGTATAAGTAATATTTCAGGCGGTGAAAGACCATGGAAAAAAGCAACAGTGGATGAATGGTGCATTTTACAAGATATGTCCAGTTACTCATATGGCGTAATTTAAGCAAAAACCAACTCGTTGCCACTAGTGCAATAGTATTATCGCGTATGCACCCCAGCAAAAAATATCTTTTTGATATCATATTTCACCATTTTTTAACCTTTCCTTTTGATTGTACATAGAACATCGAATTAAGAGGATAATCTTTGAAAGGGACTATGGATACTGCTCTCAAAGCCGACGATCAGATTTCGTTCTAGTTGAACTGGAAGAAAGTTTAATTTACAGTCATCGAATCCAACCGATTCAGCTCTACTGTGCTGCAGACCTCCCGAATCAACTCGCCGCATTAGGTTTTAACTTCCCCGGCCAACTCTATGGTTTCCTCAACGAAGCATTGGTGAATGTGAGACGAGGTGAACATCGTTATCTCCAGGCTCTTAACCACGATATCCCATCGGATTCTGTCGGCCCATTGGTTAGTGTCCACGGAAAAGGAAAGCGGCCTCATCTTGTGGGTCTATACTCCCATCGCTATGGTAAAACAAGTTTCTTCAAGTCTTTAGACCATACCAGTTGCAACTGGATTCGAAAGCGTATTACCGAAGCGCAGAGATATGGATAATCTCATGACCCCTTTTCCTTGTGTTATCTCTACCTAGCATTCAATTATATTTGTCTTTCATCTAGCATTTGCAATTTATCCTCCCAATCACACTATGAACATATTATCTTCATACAGATTACCATGTACATACATTCATTCAAGAGGTTCCAGAAATTGGCATGAGCGTTTAGATCATTTTCTTCTCCACACACCCCTTTATTTTATTGAAAAATAGTTATGTTAAATGGTTATATTCTTTATTTCGTTAAAATTAAATGTTGCTCTTAGGTGGCTTGATAAATAATTTGATCTAAATAAAACTCTTGGGAAGAAGCAATAACCCAATTGTCTATACTTATTGCAAAATAATGGCATGGCCTTTCTCCAATTTTTTTAACATATTTATTGATCGACGAATTTAACCGGATTGTAACTTTAAATTGAAATAAGATAGATGAGGAAAAATTTGCGATGTCCTTGAAATTGATTTTTGTTTATTAAAGAGTACTTTAAATATGACTTCCACTGAAATTGTTATAATTACTTATCCCTCGTTTTATTTACACTGATAGTGTACAAACGTGGGGGAGGGATGATATTATTTGGAATTACTAGTTAAAAATTAAATTCGCGCTTATTAAATCGCAGAATGATCAGCAAACAATATTAATGCCTATTATTTGAAAAAAACAGATGCATTAGACATGGCAAAAACATCTTAGTTAATATGCTGGCCAGTGTACTATTAACAAAGCAAGTGTGTAATAAAGTGTGCACGAAAAATTCATAACGTTGTTTATTTTAATATTAAAACAATTCTCGTAACAAAAATTGATTTTTTAACTTAAATCTGGCATCCATCTTAAGATTTTTTTGATTCCCTCAAATAATTTGTTAATCCTACTTAGTCTCCTTGGGCACCGAGGCAGTTGGTAGGACCAATTCCAAGAGGAGTCGCAGTTTAAGGTGGTGTTCTGGTCTAGAGACATGAATTTTAGGTCATTTTTGAAGTTCTGTAAAAGAAAGCGGGCAATGTTTTTATTATCCATTTTTTATACATTATTAATTCACCTTAGACGCATACAAAAAATAAAAAAAATTAAAATTCCGTTAGTAATCAGTTGATGGAGTGAGACGTCCCAAAAATATAGTACATGACCATACCCACGATTTGAACTCTCCAGGCAATCTGAAATCAAAAAATAAAAAAATAATCAATCTATAATAATATCACTATGTCTGGAACTACGGAAAAGTTATAGAAATATTTTTTTACAAAATGGCGACTGCCTAAGGAAAAAAACATTTTTGTACCACTTTTTTGAACATTCTTCGATTTTCTAAAATATTAAAAAGTAAAATTTGGGAATAGCCGTAGTTCCGGACATAGACAAGCCCCTAAAGAAGACTCTCTTAAAATTTCAAGTAAATCGGTTTGGCAGAATCTGAGAAATCGTGGGTATCAGATTCAAAAAAGCAGTTTTGAGAAAAACGCGTTTAAAGTTTCAAGTAAAATATTTTGCAATCAAATCATAAAATTATATTTTTAACTTACATTTATTCAATCTGCCATTCCTGCTGCATACATCTGACCTTCCTTGACTTCGAAAAAACTATTTTCGGTGTCTCTGTTTTCTATTCGAGCAGTTCTGGCCTCCTCTGATGCGCTGGATGCTCGTGTCTCGGAGCGATCAATCCGGGCGTTGTCTCGTCTGACAGCAAATGCATGCGCTTCTGGACCAATTTTCACTCCCATAAGCGTCATTATCTTCAATATCGGTATAAATCCTTCATTAAAATACACACAGCAATAAAGTTAGCAATTTCAATGATCTGAGACCCGGAATTGATATGCTTTGGAGCGAAAGTCCATATCAGCGAGTTTAGAGACTCATTATTATTTTGAGTTTCTGAACCCAAACATCAAATCAATAACTCTTCTGATGATAAACTACGAAGGATTTGTCAACGAATGGACATGATGGAATGTAGCGTAGCAACTGGATTGTAATGCAATTTTGAACCCGAAGAAATTGCTGAAAACAGTATCCGTAATTATCATCTATAATTACTTCTACATCATTCGATTACCTTAATTTTGCTGCTGATGAACTCGTAAAACTGGTGTTTTCCTGTTCCGTAAGTCAATTGACGTGAAATATACATATATGTAAAATAATAGATAGATAGATATAACGGAACAAAAGGGCTTACTAAGAATTATAGATTCAGGTAGTCGGAGAACCCATTATGTCTTTTGTTCGATTAGTTGCAGCCCAACCGATTTGGATGCCTGCTCAGCAAAATACTTATATCCCTGAAACTAATTTGAATTTTAAAAAATCCTCTCGTAGACATGTTTTTGAATCGTTTAACTATAAAAATATTCAAATAAATTTCGAAAATTTTTTTCTAGACCAGAATACCCACTTAAGAGAGAGGAGTATGCTCGATACTGGAGTAATCTAAATCAAGAACTCTGAAATCATGTAAAACGTCAGGTCATTTAGAGAATAACTTAAAAGAGCAATTACAAACATACTAGTTAGGGATCACTACTTCCATAAAGTAGCAAAACCCAACAAGGAAATGGAATTTCAATATAATTTTGAATTTAAAAGGAGGACATTCCCATTAGAGTGTCACACTGCATTCATTTCAGATTCATGTCACCTTGCTACCATTAATCCTTACTGTATTATTGCGCTTTCCATGTGTACAAACCGTATTTTCTTTTCTTAAACATATCAAGAAACAGCAGAGACTAAATCGATTGTACTACCTGTGACATGGATATATCTTGTGACAGATTTAAAATACGTCATAGGGAATTTTGAGGGGAAGACATTTTGACACAAGCTGCTTTTTGAACTACAAAATGCCAAACAGCATGAATTACCGATCTATGCTAATCGGCATGATTTGCCTCGGTCATTAATAGTAAATGTTAATTGCTTTTCAAGAGAGCTTACGACAGCAAATTCAAAAATGACTTCAAGATTGCAAAAAAGCAATTTAGACATTTTTGTGATTTAGACCACTACGGGTCAACTAGATAAGGTTCACCCTTATGAGGTTTACGAAAAATAAATGAAAGTTGGATCTTACAAAAATCTTAAATTGTATTTCACGAGTACTAATTTTGAGATTTCCAAGCATAGAGTTATTTGGAAAATCATTTGACATTTCATCAATTGATAGCTTGATTGAAAATTGTTTTTGAATGGATGTTTCTTTTTATTCGTTTTCACAAATGTTTTTACAACGCTAGTCTCTGGAAAACTCAATTAGAAACTAATTCACTTCTCTCGAGCCTACCATCATTACGATTAATAGGCAATGAAATTCATTAAGCAGTAAAGTCAAATTCAATCATTCCAGATTGAGTTAGATCCGTGTCACTAAAGCCATGCTGAAAATTTTTCGTGAATTTGCTTTAAAGAAATTTTGAGGCGTAGTGAAGAATTTTAAAGCGAAAAAAGAGTCTGTTGGTGTCTGACTGTGGTTTTTTTGTTAGTCCTGCTTTGCATTTTTTTCTCAAATGGAAAATGTTATTCGCGCCTGGCTCTAATAGAGCCTCATGTTGTACTTGCTATATTTGTCTCTTCTTTAAATAGCAATGAAGAAATCTGAACTTTATTTGATAACACTGTACGACATTTTCTGATGACATACCAATTCAGTTGGTTTTATGAGTGAAAGATTTCGCTTCTAGTATGTGTTCGTCGGTCAAATAAAGTCAATTTCGGAAAATCGTAACTATTAAAAGATTATTGATCTGTGGCCAAAAAGAAATCCACCTTCATTTAACACCCAGTTTAGTTTACTTCACGCATAAAGTGGACCATCTTTTCACAAGACCATTCCCTTCTGCTTTCCCTCATATATCATTGCCCTGATTCGATGCTTCAACTGTGGGGTGTGCGATAGACTTACCTCCACTTGGTGCACCCTGGGCAACGTATACTCATATGGCAAAAAAGTCTATTAACCGGCATTTGACTTCTGACTTCAAACTACCACGACCCTCCTGGTTGTCATATTCGACCCCTTTCACAGTACTCACCTCACCTTTTTCTCTACCTTTGTGTCTGTCTGCCTCTTTTACATCTGTGAATCGCTCTTCTGTTCCACACCCCTCGACTTTCTGCTACTTTGATGAACCTTCCCTCTGTGAAGCCCGAAGTCAGCTAAATGGCTAATGATATCTGTCAAAACGCCTACCATTTGAAATAAATAAATGCTTCAACTGTTAGCCGTTAGAAGGACTCCTACTTCTCTTGGCTATACGGTAAATATAGTCCAAGACCGGAGTGTAAAAGTATTGAAATGTGACTTATGGGCTCCATTTCAATATAGTCAGTGGGCACCAAATCTCATGGCTGATAAACACTTGACTAAGTGTTCAAGCAAAACACTTCCTTAGATCACTTGGATAAATTTTAATACACTGATTGAATGATTACGAAATAGTTGGAACGGAAGGTGGTTCATTCTAAAATTTACCATATATGGGCATTACATAGCTGTTTAATACACATCAGCATTCATCGTCGATTTATACATGACAGAATGTTTCTTCAATTTGTTATCTTCTATGAATACAAACCATTATCCTCAATAATGACTTGTACTTCTATCCTACTAACTAGTTTACGTTAATAATAATTTAAGGGAAGAATAGTAATAGCTTTTAAATTTCATTTAGCAATCGTCACCTAGTTAAAAAGATTAAACATAAATTATGTCAATTTTTTGCCCATAAGAATTCATACGTTACAAGTGCAATTTGATATTTGAACACCTACAAATTGTGTACGCCTATTATGCATATCTTTTTTCCTGAGGAGATGGGCTACGTATATTGATGGATTTATTCAAGTCTCGAAACCAAGGTTTCCCTATTGCTCCAGTCTCTTCATCATTTAGAAAACTCCAGAGGTTAGATTTTAAGGCAAGCGAATGAAAATTGAATCACACAAGTTCTTGAATCTCATCTAATTAACATTGTTATGATTGTAGAAGAAAGTGGGCACTCAAATCGACCGAACCCCTGGATTAAAAACGTCTGTTCTTCGAATAACCGAGATAAGGTTGCCTATTGCTCGAATTTTAGCACGGCAGTTAAGTTAAGTGAAATGACCGCGCGTTTGTTCAGGGTAAACCCAGAATCACCTTCGTATAATTTTCAACACTCAATTGCAGCTCAGTCCTTTGGCTACTTAATTGTGGTGCACATTTTTAAGTTAGGGTGTAATGCATGAGTTTAGTAGGCCTGCGTCTAAATAAACTTCCTACTTGCATGGAGACATTGACATTCTTCCAGAATTATTCAATCTATTATTATAAAAATATTATTTAAGCTTGTGACATTATTAGGGTTACAGTATAGATAATGTTAACTAGTCGTATGGTGAATAAGTGCATTAAATAACCCATGTATAACTAATTACCTGTCCTCAGTTTTCTTGGTCTGCTAGGATATGCGAACACACGCGTGTTTTTTGCCGTTATTCATTCCTCCTAATTCTTCGAATTCAACCCCGCTTTCTGTGTTGAACTTGTACTGCTTAGTAGAAGCACGTTTTGTTTTAACTTCCAAATTTTCAACACAAGACCAATAAGAGTATTTTTTCTTTCACTTATTAGGTTCGCCACACATCAACCAATTTATCGTAAATTAGTTTACACTTTTCTCATTCACTATTATGCTATTTGGACCATAAGACGCTATTCGACTGTTTTATCCCTTTAGTAAGGCCAAAACATTCCGCTTTCTCTCTCTCTCTCTCTGTCCATTAAGTTTTTTTCGCACACGACATTTTGGCTGTGGCAGGCAACACCGACCCAATAGCATTTTTTCATTGATCTATTTCAGGCTCCTCTAACCCTCGTGAGTCTATTTTTTATTGGGTAGTCACGAGTGTACCGTGCAATTTGATCTGCAAATTTATAAATGAAACGGAACCAAGTGAGATGATATAGCATGCACGATAAAACCAACAGGCATGAACTAGGCTGTCTAAAGGACGAAAGAAGAACAGCAGTCTTAAGGATACAGGCTTGTTTTTCGATAATTTCATTTTATCCATTCTATTCAAAGTTATATTCATTAAGACCGTTAGACAACCATTTTAACAAAATGGAAAAAACACCAGCTTCCGAAATGTCCTTTTCATTATGTTTACGAAAATCCTTTGAATTTCTAAAATTTTCTTTTTATGATCTTAAGGACTCGAATCAATTTACATAAATTCCACTCTAACCATTAATTGTACTAAGCAAGCCTTCCTCTGCACATTACCAGCCTTAAACCAGGAGCCTTAGATGCAAAAGGGGATAACAGTGCATAGTTACAAGTAAAAGCCTCTCACCCCCTAATAATATGAAACTAATGCCAAATTCATGAAGCTTGAAGTTTTGTCAAAATATTGAAGTTAAATGAAGATTACATTAAGGTTGAAATAGCCACAGTCAGAATATATAATCGTGGATTATAAGTTTGATAAAAAACACGATGTCAACAGAACTTAATGAAAGCACAAAAGTACTTTTAACGTAGACACTGAAAGTACGGAACACAGGTATAATGACACAGGCAAAATCCATTTTAATAATCCTCTCCTCGTGTTACAACTTCCTTACAAATTGGACGCAAAATGACTGTATGCTCCCATTGTGCGGTATAGCTGCCTTTAGAATCCACCAGAGGTGGATATGCTCTCACAACATTCATTTCAACGAGGTTCCTCAAACCCATTGCGTACTTGGTTTCACCCAACCTATCCAACCAGCGTTTGCAGAAAGCCAGCGTACCAAAGTTTTTCTCTATTGTAGCAAGCAATTTCTTTGCTCTAGTTTGTCTAAAAAATTAGAAAATTAAAGCGTTACTAATAAATCAAAGTAGGAGATACGTTTCACAATGAAACTTGCCTTAAAGGAACGAAACCAACATCAAATTCTTTCATGTAATGCGAGACATCGTCAGCGTCACGAACAATGCCCCTGCCAGTGCTACCGAAGGTCTCAATTGCGTAAACTTCGTTCTCCTAAACAAAGTGCGAGAAGATAGGCATAAAAAAAACACGAATTAATGATTGCGCATTTCCAACAATCCTTCACATTAATGTGAACAGCGGTTAATAAAATTCACTTTTTCTACGAAATAAGTAGTAATTGATAATATTAATTGATTAATTCAACGATGCTGCGCAATGGCAAGTATAAAATACCAATATTCTGCCAAAAACAGACTCACAAACTGCAATCCATAATTAATATTTCTAGTTAAAGTATAAAGATTATAATATCTTTAAACAAATACGTGGGTCTTAGCACAGTAAAACATGTATAACTTGATGAATCAGGATATGCAATAGAAAATGTGCAAACTTTAAGCTCCTTTATAAAGTGGATTTGAAGAGAGAGAGAAATACTTTAACGACAAAGTACGGTAAAACTACAAAACATACTCAAAATTATATAAAAATGTTTCCATTCATATATAAATACAAATAAATAAAAACTACTAAGGACATAAATTTTTAATAAGGAACCTATGGGTAATATCTCCAATTTGAACATTAGGACCACTGTGCAAAAGGTATCTATTAAGAAACAAGCATACAATCTATGGAATACGGAGCAAGGCTCTTCTA